TGGGGGCAATATGCTGACTCTCTGTAAACCGCTTAGAGAGGCCTGAAAGGCCTATGAAGCGGTATATAAGTCTACTGCTATTGCTATTGCTATTCATTTTCGGGACTCTATCGTCAATCACCATGTGCTCCTTCTGATGGGCAATGTAGCCACAAAGGCTCACATAAACCATCAGGGGAGGACTTACTCCAAGTGCCTCTGGCTGGAAGCTCAGAAACTCGGATTCTAGGCGGAGAAGAACCTGGCCTCAATAACATCGAAGCACATTTCGGGCATAGCCAACCATCAGGCCGACTGGTTGAGTCGGGTGACGGGCGACCACGCCAAGTGGCAGCTGATTCCAGAACTGTTCCACAGGATTTGCCGCTGCTTCGGCTCCCCATTGGTGGACTTGTTCACGAGCCCAGCCAATGATCAACTGCCCCGGTTCTTCTCCCACTTCCCAGCACGCAACGTGGAGCGGTCAGATGCCCTCAGAAGTCCATGGCCTCCGGGCCTTTTTTATGTCTTTCCCCCTCTCCCTCTAATCCAGGGGATCCTGAGGAAGGTAGTGATAGAGAGGGAATACATCATTCTGGTAGCCCCATATTGGCCAAGACGCCCTTGGTTTGTGGACCTTGTCCAACTATCCGTATGTCCCCCGTGGAGGATTCCTTAGGAGGAGATCGCCCTGTGCCAGGGGGTCCTTTTCCATCCAGAGCCCCAGTGGCTTCATCTGACCGCCTGGCACTTGAGCAGCGCCTCCTGAGGGACGCTAACCTGTCAGCCAAGGTCATTTCTACCATTGAAGTTTCCAGGCGCCCGTCGACCACACGGATTTATAACTCGATGTGGTCGACGTTTGTTTCCTGGTTCAACCTTTCTCCAGCCAACGCCTTGGTTGCCCAAGTCCTTGAATTCCTACAACATGGCTTACACCAAGGTCTTTCTCATAACATCTTACAGAGACAGGTGGCTGCTCTGTCCTCCATTCTGGCAGGGGACGGCCGCTTTTCCTTGTCCCGTTCCCTTAGTCAAATGGTTCCTTAAAGGGGCGGCAAACCTGTGTCCTCCAGTGCATCAGTTTCCAATGTGGGACCTCTCTCTAGTCCGTAGGGCTCTCACGGGGCCACCATTTGAACTGTTAAGAACAGCACACCTCAGATTTTTAACCCTAAAGTTGGCCTTTCTAGTCACCGTTGCTTTGGCTCGACGAATCTGAATTAGGGGCACTGTCATCCAAGGATGACCTCTGTCAATTCCACCAGGATAGGGTCATCCTTAGGCTAGATCCGACCTTCCTCCCGAAGGGCAATTCCCTCTTTCACAGATCCCACAAGGTCATACTCCCTAACTTCTGTTCCTCTCCTCACGAGAGGGAACACCTTTGGCACCGACTAGATGTCCGCTGCGCTTTGCGCATTTATCTCAGGCGTACATCCCCCTTCTGTAATTCTTATTTTTTTAAATAGTAGGTTAGACTTCTGTCCCTAAAGTTTTAGTAGAAACAGTGAATCAGGAAAATGGGGATTAATAGTATCTATTACAATGGGGATTAAAGTATATAAATATTTCATTTGAAATTAGAGTGTGTATTCACAAAAACTGAATATAAACTCTAACTTTAAATAAAATATTTATATTCTGGCAGTGTAACGTGGCAAAATTCTTGTCCAATTCTTGGATCTTTTTCGTGTAAGAGATGTGAAGTTTCTCTTTTTGAAAAGACGGCAGTCTGCATCTGTTTTTCTGTTTTAATAATTTGTAGACCTTTTATCATTGTGAAGAAACTCTTACATTAACATGCAGATATTCTGGATCATTGCTGTAATCCTGCAATTTGGAAAATTTCATTGACAGTTATCAATATCAGAGAAAGTGTTATTATTTTTTCTGTTTTCATCCTATATGAAGTCCTATATGCAATCCCCTGGGAATTAATAGTTCAAGAATGGGTAAACATGGAGAAACTGATGTTTGGTTATTCATTAACAAAGATACTTGGATGGTTTTGTTTCAATAATTCTCTGTATACATAAGTATAAGTATAATATTTATTGTCATTGTACTTAAATACAACAAAATTGGTTTTAACCTCACTGGTGCAAAATTATAACAGAAATGAAAAAAGAAAGAAAAAGAAAAAAAACTAGTGTGTTCATAGAGTGTTTGTGATTGTATTTAAAAGTCTCACAGCCCAAGGATAGAAACTATC